TGAGACCGCCTCGGACAGTTCCCGGTAAGTCCCTCGTCTCCAGCTGAGACCGCCTCGGACAGTTCCCGGTAAGTCCCTCGTCTCCAGCTGAGACCACCTCGGACTTTACCATCCATATCACCATCAGCATTTTGTTCACAACCATTCAACAATCTCTAGGAAGTTCCACACTTTCCCTCATCTTCCTGCCTTTTTCTGAGCTCTCCAACTCTTCCAACCTCTGCTTGTTACTGAGTTCCAAAGTTGCGTCCACATTTTCAGGTATCTTTATAACAATGGCCCACTTCTCTGATATCAACTTTTTGTATCACTCATTCTCACACTGCTATAAAGACATATTTGCGAGTGGATGATGTATAAAGAAAAGAGGTTTGGTTGGGTGCAGTGGCTCATGTCTGTAATCCCAGCACTTTGGGATGCCAAGGCAGGCGAATTGCTTGAAGTCAGGAGTTTGAGACCAGCCTGGCCAACATGACAAAACCCTGTTTCTACTAAAAATGCAAAAATTAGCTGGGCATGGTGGTGCACACCTGTAATCCCAACTACTTGGGAGACTGAGGTAGGTGAATCGCTTGAACCAGGGAGGCAGAGGTTGTGGTGAGCAGAGATCCCACCACTGCATTCCAGCCTGCACAACAGAAACTCTGAAAATAAAAAGGAAGGAAGGGAGGGAGGGAGGGAGGAATAAGAGGAGGTTTAATCAGCTCACGGTTCTGCAGGATGTACAGACTTCTGCTTCTGGGGAGGCCTCGGGAAGCTTACGATCATGGCAGAAGGGGAAGGGAAAGCAGGCACATCTTCATATGGCCAGCAGGAGACAGAGTGAAGGTGCTACACAATTTCCAACAACCAGATCTTGTGAGAACTCGCTCACTATCACGAGAACAGCAAGGGGAAGTCCACCTCCCTGGTCCAGTCACCCCCACCAAGTCCCTCCCCAACACGAGGGGTTACAATTCAACATGAGATTTGGGTGAGGACACAGAGCCGAACCATATCATAGTTCTGCTCAGACTTTTTTTTACTCTTTTGGAGTCAGTTTCAACAGCTTGTGTCTTTCATTTTTTTTGTTTTTGTGTGTTTTTTTTTTTTTTTTTTTTTTTTTTTTTTTTTTTTTTTTTTTTTTTTTTTTTTTTTTGAGACGGAGTTTTCGCTCTTGTTACCCAGGCTGGAGTGCAATGGCGCGATCTCGGCTCACCGCAACCTCCACCTCCTGGGTTCAAGCAATTCTCCTGCCTCAGCCTCCTGAGTCGCTGGGATTACAGGCACGCGCCACCATGCCCAGCTAATGTTTTGTATTTTTAGTAGAGACGGGGTTTCACCATGCTGACCAGGATGGTCTCGATCTCTTGACCTCGTGATCCACCCGCCTCGGCCTCCCAAAGTGCTGGGATTACAGGCTTGAGCCACCGCGCCCGGCCTGTTTTTTGTTTTTAATGGGGTTTCACCATGATGGCCAGGCTAGTCTTGAACTTCTGACCTCAGGTGATCCTCCCACCTTGGCCTCCCAAAGTGCTAGGATTACAGGCATGAGCCACTGCGCCCGGCATAGCTTGTGCCTTTCTATGAATTGGTCCATTTCATCCAACTGATTTAATTTGTCAGCAGACAAAGGAGGGTCCACTCCCTACTCCTCCAAATGTAGACTCATGGAGTCTTCAGGTGTCCTCGTTCTGAGGCTGAGATGTAAAAATGGAATGCTCAGGGCAGGGAAAGAAGGACACTGCTCAGGGCACAGGACACAGTCTCCTGAAGGAAGGAGGTCCAAGGGGAGGCTGAGGCACAGTCAAGAGGGCTCCAGGGAGCCCTGGACAGCAGCGGTCATGAGGGAAAACCCAAAGAGAGGAAGAGAGGATTAAAGAGCTTCCTGAAGCTTTGCTGGGTAGTAAAATCCCTGTGGAAGGGGCCTTTGAGGAAATACACAACGAAGTCTAAATTATTGTTAAAGATTTTTGGTTGTACTCGGGAATTGGCTCTGCTCAGAAGCTAGGCTTTGTGGGCAACGCAGATCCAGAATAAACGGCACTGCAGGCCAAGCTGCTCCCCCTCCCACTCCCTCATCTGTTCACTTGTTCCTCTCCTCTCCCCACTCTCTGGCCTTCTTTACCCAGCAGTGTGGCCCTATGCCTTGCAGCCCCTCCTCACCCCCAAGTTTCCACCCAGGCCAAGGACTCTGGGAAATGTTGGCTCTTGTTACCAAACCCCTTTCCGGGACCGTTAGCAGCAGGTGCTAAGAGCTGATAGGGCAGAGTCTGCTGATGCTGGGGTCCTTCCTATGCAGACGGGCAGACTAGCCCGACCCAGGCAACCCCACATCACAGGCCTCAGAACATTTCCCCACCTGCTATGCCAGAATGCCAAGGAGCCACGGCAACGTGGTCCTGCCCCAGTGACCTCTCTGTCCTGTGGCCCTCAGCTCCCCTTGTTTTTTGTTTCTTTTATTTGAGATGGGGTTTCACCACATTGGCCAGGCTGGTCTCGAACTCCTGACCTGGTGATCCTTCCACCTCAGCCTCCGAAAGTGCTAGGATTACAGGTGTGAGCCACCGCGCCTGGACCCTCAATTCCCTTTGACCGCAGAAGAAGAGCATCTCAGGGGAAAGACCATGATCCGTGCTAAGTGCTGGTGAGACACGAAGTAAAATCAGAACCAAAGTGGGTTTAGGGATGGAGATGCTTTTGATGGCCCGGAAAACACAGCTGCAGAAGAGCAGCGCGGCCGGGCGGAGGCTGTCACAGGACACGGCAGTGGGAACAGGAGACGTGCAGGACATGCAGACACGTGCACCGCCGCTCCTCCCCCAACCCTACCTTAGTGCCTTCACTGCCCCATTTTACAAGGAGAAAATGGAGACCCAGAGAAACCGAGTAACTTGTCCAAGGTCACAGTCTCGGTCCGTGGAGCCAGGTTTGATCCCAGGCAGCATGGCTCAGGAGACCGTGCTCCTCGCCTGTGCATTTTCCATCGCAGATGAGCAGAGCAGTTGGGGCGAGCTTGTGTTCAATCATCCGTGCTGTGGAGAGAGAAAAGGGGATGTGGGTTTAGGAGCAGTGGAGCTGTGGCTGGGAGGGCTGCGTCTGTCCCTGAGTGGGAGAGCCTCCGGGCTACAGTGGGTCTGAGTGAGAGGTGGCTGAGGCCACCTTGGGTCTTCCGGCTGGGCAGTGGCCGGGGGGCCCAGGGACGCCCACTGAGCTGCCAGCACCAGACTCTCCCACAGCCGAGCTCTGAAGCACCTTCGTGTGTTCTCCGGGCTGTTGCTTTGCCTTGCAGAATCCCACCCCATCAGGAGAGCTAAGTCAGGGCCAACAGGTCAAGGAGCTGAGACCCCCAAATGGACGGCCCCTGCCTCTGAGCCGGGTGTCCACGGCAGTCACTCCTCTCAGGCAGCCAGGCCAGGACACAGGGCCAAGGCCAGCCTCTCAGGCTGCTCACAGCTTGTTCCCAGGGCTCTACCCCAGGGAGACCCCATCCCCTCCTCTACTGCTGGAAGCTGCCCATACTGTGGCCTGGAACAAGGGCCTTGTCCTTGCACTGGGCCTGCCTGGGGGAAGGCTGCTTCCGCACACAGGGCTCTCATGCTGTCTCTACCTGGGCCTGGTGCCTCCCAAGCTTCTGTAAGAACCAGCAAGATGTGTTCATGTGCATGAAAGTCCTTTGAAAAGCGCATACACACACACACGCCAGGATGTGTGCTGGCGGCAGCCCCCTCCAGGCCACTCTCCCTCTCCCTCTGTGCCCAGCAGTCAGGTGAGACAGGAGGGGCCCCAGCAGGAGGTCAGGAAGCAAGGGCAGCAAGGAAGGGTCCCCTTGGCCTTGTCCCCAGGCTGCTGCTGCCAGGCTCCTCCTGGAACTTGGGGTGGGAGGTCCCTCCTGTCTGGGCAGAGGCTGGGCCACCCTCCTCCCCAAGTCCCTAAGAAACCCAAATTCTCGGGCCCCAGGGCTAGGACCCCGCATGCCCCTCGGGGTGACTCAGACCCCCAGGGTAACTTCCACCTGTTCCCACTCTCAGCAGAAGCAGGTGGAAGGCGCCTACTCGCAGCCATGCCCCATGCCACACCCAAGGGTTCTTGGGGAACATTAATGGAATAAATGAGTGAGAAAATCAAAGTTCACCAAGCTGAGCCCTTAAAGGGCAATGCTGTGCGTGTGCCACAGTGCACAATGGCATCTCGTGCCAGCTGAGCTGGGGTGTGTGGGCTCGGGGAATGGACCAGGCTGGACAACCTCTAAGGCTTGGCTCCAGGTCAGCCTGTGAAAGCCTGTGAAGGAATCACCTCTTTGGTCCCCACCTCTGCCCCTGAGTGCTCGACCCAGGGAGGAAGACACCCCATGGACCAGTCAGACGCCCCCTGCTCCAGGTGAGTACTGGCCCGCGGGTGGTCACTGGGAATATCTCTGAGGCCTCCACCTCACCCGCTGACTCCCTGGGGCTCTCCACCCTTGCCCACATCCTTCTGCTACCCTCATCCTCAGGCTTAGAAGTCTAAGGACTGCATCTCCACAGAGGCCATTTGTGGAGTCTGTTCCTCACCAGAGGCTCAGGCTCAGGCCCTGGCCCCACCAAGGGTGGCCAGGGTGGGGACCCCAGGAAAACCACCTGGGCCTGGCCGTGTCTGCTGCCACAGAGGCCAGCTCTGCTCCAGGCTCGGGAAGAGAGAGGAAAGAAAGAAAGAGAGCCCAGGGTCCCTTGGAAATGCCTCCCCGGGGCCACTGGCCTGGCCTGGCCTGGGGTGTGGAAGGGCAGAAGCAGAAAGGGAGGTGCACGGGAGAACGGTGCCCCCCAGAGCTCGGGTCAGCGGTGGCCAGTGCCCACTTCACCCCCAGACAGTGAAGAACACCAAGATGCCCCCACCCGGGCCCGGGGAGGGGAGGGCGAAGTCTGGGGTCCTCCACTCCGGATCCACACGATACTTGTCCGGGGCTCCCTGAGGCTCTGCCTGCGGTGGGCTCTCGGGCGCCAGAGTCCCCTAAGGGTCGCCCACCCATGAACCCGCGCCCACCCACCTCCAGCGCCGGGCCGCGCTTCGCCGTGGCCCGCGAGCTGCTCCAGGCCGCGCTGGAGGACCTGAGCCAGGAGCAGCTGAAGCGCTTCCGCCACAAGCTGCGCGACGTGCGCTCGGATGGACGCAGCATCCCGTGGGGGCGGCTGGAGCGCGCGGACGCGATGGACCTCGCTGAGCAGCTGGCGCAGTTCTACGGCCCGGAGCCCGCGCTGGAGGTGGCCCGCAAGACCCTGAAGCGGGCGGACGCGCGCGACGTGGCGGCGCAGCTCCAGGAGCAACGGCTGCGGCGTGAGCTCGGGGCGGGAGGTCCCCCGGGATGGGCAGAGGCTGGGCCGCCCTCCCCCGCGTGGCCCCAGGAACCCCGGCGCGCCCCCGGCCCGCGCGTTTGATCCACAAATTCGCGTGCTCCTCGGGGTGACTGGGACCCCCGTGGCGCCTTCCGCCTGTTCCCGCCCTCGGCGGAGCCTCACTCCGTTTCCCTTGCAGGGCTCGGCCTCGGCCCCGCGGCGCAGGTCTCCGTGTCCGGTGGGTGTCTCTTGCTGGGGCCCGAGGCTGCGGCGCGAGCATCCCAGCCCCGCTCGGAGGGTCCCGGGGAGGACCGGGCGGGGAGGGCCGACGGGGCGCGGACTGTGGTCCCGCAGGGGAAACTGAGGCCTGAGCGGGGCCGGGGAGGGCGAGGGCTTCCGGAGCGCGGCCGTCGCGGCCCGCCCCGCCCGACCCATCCCGCCCGTCTCCCCTCCGCCCAGAGTACAAGAAGAAGTACCGCGAGCACGTGCTGCGGCGGCACGCGCGGGTGAAGGAGAGGAACGCCCGCTCCGTGAAGATCACCAAGCGCTTCACCAAGCTGCTCATCGCGCCGGAGAGCGCCGCCGCGTTGGAGGAGGCGCTGGGGCCTGCGGAGGAGCCGGAGCCGCAGCGCGCGCGGCGCTCGGACACCCACACGTTCAACCGCCTGTTCCGCGGCGACGAGGGGGGCCGGCGGCCGCTGACCGTGGTGCTGCAGGGCCCGGCGGGCATCGGCAAGACCATGGCGGCCAAGAAGATCCTGTACGACTGGGCGGCGGGCAAGCTCTACCAGGCCCAGGTGGACTTTGCCTTCTTCCTGCCCTGCGGCGAGCTGCTGGAGCGGCCCGGCGCGCGCAGCCTGGCCGACCTGATCCTAGACCAGTGCCCCGACCGCGGCGCGCCGGTGCAGCAGATGCTGGCGCAGCCCGAGCGGCTGCTCTTCATCCTGGACGGCGCGGACGAGCTGCCGGCGCTGGGGGGCCCCGAGGCCGCGCCCTGCACGGACCCCTTCGAGGCGGCGAGCGGCGCGCGGGTGCTGGGCGGGCTGCTGAACAAGGTGCTGCTGCCCTCGGCCCTCCTGCTGGTGACCACGCGTGCCGCCGACCCCGGGAGGCTGCAGGGCCGCCTGTGCTCCCCGCAGTGCGCGGAGGTTCGCGGCTTCTCCGACAAGGACAAGAAGAAGTATTTCTACAAGTTCTTCGGGAACGAGAGGAGGGCCGAGCGCGCCTACCGCTTCGTGAAGGAGAACGAGACGCTGTTCGCGCTGTGCTTCGTGCCCTTCGTGTGCTGGATCGTGTGCACCGTGCTGCACCAGCAGTTGGAGCTCGGCCGGGACCTGTCGCGCACGTCCAAGACCACCACGTCCGTGTACCTGCTTTTTGTCGCCAGCGTGCTGAGCTCGGCTCCCGCAGCCGACCGGCCCCGGGTGCAGGGCGACCTGCGCAAGCTGTGCCGCCTGGCCCGCGAGGGCGTCCTCGAGTGCAGGGCGCAGTTTGCAGAGGAGGAACTGGAGCAACTGGAGCTTCGTGACTCCAAAGTCCAGACGCAGTTTTTTAGCAAGAAGGAGCAGCCGGGCGTGCTGGAGACGGAGGTCACCTACCAGTTCCTCGACCACAGCTTCCAGGAGTTCCTCGCCGCACTGTCTTACCTGCTGGAGGACGAGGGCGTGTCCGGGACCGCGGCCGGCGGCGTGGGGACACTCCTGCGTGGGGACGCCCAGCCGCACAGCCACTTGGTGCTCACCACGCGCTTCCTCTTCGGACTGCTGAGCGCAGAGCGGATGGGCGACATCCAGCGCCACTTCGGCTGCAGGGTCTCGGAGCGTGTGAAGCAGGAGGCCCTGCGGTGGGTGCAGGGACAGGGCTGCCCGGGAGCGGCACCAGAGGTGACCGAGGGGGCCAAAGGGCTTGAGGACACGGAGGAGCCGGAGGAGGAGGAGGAGGAGGAGGGAGAGGAGCCCAACTACTCGCTGGAGCTGCTGTACTGCCTGTACGAGACGCAGGAGGACGCGTTTGTGCGCCAGGCCCTGAGCCGGCTCCCCGTTCTGGCGCTGCAGCGAGTGCGTTTCAGCCGCATGGATGTGGCTGTTCTGAGCTACTGCGTGAGGTGCTGCCCCCCTGGACAGGCACTGTGGCTGATCAGCTGCAGACTGGTTGCTGCACAGGAGAAGAAGAAGAAGAGCCTGGGGAAGCGGCTGCAGGCCAGCCTGGGTGGCAGCAGGTGCGTCTCTGGGTCAGAGATGCTCTCTTGTCTGGGAGGTGTGTGCACATACCCCGTGTACCTGTGTCCATCTGGGAGGTGTGTGGTGCATACCCCGTGCACCTGTGTCCATCTGGGAGGTGTGTGGTGCATACCCCGTGCACCTGTGTCCATCTGG